TGCTGTCCTTCGTTCAGGTCCGTATCTGCAGGATTCACCTGCCGGCACACAGCAAGTCTTTTAGAAACCCCCAGCTAGGCGTCTGAAGCCGGGCCTCAAGGGCCGCCTCTTCCAGCGCCCACCCCCACCCCCGCCCCGGGGCGGCACATCCCAGCCCCTGCCGAGCTCACCCAGCGCCGACTTGGGCACCTTTCCCTTGGCCGAGTTCCGCAGCTTCCGGGGCTGGGGCGTCTTTGCCTTCCGGGACCGCTTCACCGATGTCCTGCTTGGTTTGCCCCGGCCAGGCGCGGCCTGGAGGGCTGGAGGGGAAGGGAGGAGAGGACCAGTGTCAAAGGGACCGCAAGACACCCACCCACCAGGGAACGCCCGTGCTGTCTGGCTTTTTTGCGGCCCCGGGACTCCGATTCTCAGTTTCTGCTGCCCACCCGCCCGCGCCGGCGACCCCACGCACGCCCCCTCACCCTCGGCCGGTCCCAGCAACTCCAAGCCCCTCCGCAGCAAGGCCGCCGACATGATTGCGCGCGGCCCCGCCCTCACGCCGCCGCTACTTCCGGCGGGGCCGTGTGCATCACCAGGCTGGAAACCTGGACTGGAACACAAGGTTCCGGAAGGGGCGGGCGGAAGTGCCCATCAGTCTGAGGACGCATGCGTGGAGGGAGGGGGACGTGGTGTTACCTACTCATTTCGGCGAGGCGGGGGCGGGGTCAACACGCAGAAGGACACATATCTTATCCAATCGCAATCCAAACACACCCGCGCGCGGCAGGCCACGCCCTCTTCCGGAAACCACCCACAACTAGCCCCTCCCGGCGTCAGTTCTCTCTCCAGAGGGCGCGGCCCGAGCCAGGGGCTGGCGAGTTCACTCACTACTTTTACCGAAAATGAGACTGGTCCTGGGGCGGGCGGGTTAATTGGCACGGCATCACCTTTTAAGGCTCAGTCCACTCGCCGCTCACGACGAGCCGTCCCTCCCAGGTTTCCCTGATGGCGTTTTGTGCGCCGTGACGGGGAGCAGCTCATCACTTAGCTATTTCTGAAGAATGCGAGGATGGCGCAGGACCGCGCAGGGACTCAGTGGCACCTGACAACAACAATAACAAAGAATGCTATTCTTGGTGGCAAGTTACAAATTTGTTACTAGTTAAATATGGTCACCGCGGTGTCCCGTGATCACCGATTCCTTAATACCATCCTTAACACCCACCTCCATTTCTCTCACCCTCATGCCTGTAGCTGCCTTTTTACCGCATCCTTTGCCCCTAAACCCCTCCAGCCCTAATTCTCCCCACAGCAGCCAGAGCGACTTTTCCAAATGTGACCTTGAGCACGCTTGGGCTGGAGAGCCTTTTAGAAAAAGACCAAATCCCTCTACTTGGAATTTACCTCCCGACCTGCCCTTGTGCTCAAAGGGGTGCGTATGTGTATCCTGAAAACCCCTTAAGTGGCCTACGGAAATCTTCCCTCTTCCAGACATAATTTATGCAGGGCTGGAATTTTCTCAGTCCCGGGTAGACTTAGACCTGAAACTTCAACGGCCTGTTCTTCAACCTACTATTATTTCAAATGGATTAATATAATTCCCCGCCCCCCCAATCTTAATTTCTAACATAATAGGCATAACTCACACAAGTTCATTGGGACCCTCTTTTTGAAGACTGTAAAGGGATTCTGTCCGGAACATAGAAAGTTGGAGAACCTCTGGACTAGAAGTTACTTTTCTTGCAGTGGGAAGGGGGGGCCTGATGTGCTTCCTGCTTTACCTGCAGCATGTAGCAGCGCACCTGACGTGCAGGAGACACAGTGCATGGATGGTGAATGGAGAAGAACGACTTCCTTCACCCACGCCAGAGTGGGGTGACTCAGCTAAACAGCGCAGCCCTAGTGTCGAAGTGGTTAGGTGTCTGGCTGCTAAAGAATCCACCAGCACTTCCGTGGAAGAATGAATGTAGCTGTAGGCTTCTGTAAAGATGAAACCTAGGGTCATTGAGGTCCTGATTCACAGAGACCCTATAGGACAGGGCAAATCTGCCCTGTGAGTTTCCAAGACTGTAAATCTTTATGGGAGTAGAAAGCCCAATCTTTTTCCTCGGGAAAGGAGTTGATGGTTTCGAACTGCTGACCTTGCAGTTATCAGCCCCTATAACCACCACACCATCCTTGAGCATGCCCCAGGCCTTTCTAGTCTGCTCTGTAAGGCTGCTATGAGTTGGAATCACCTCCATCTAATTAGTTACTGGCTACTTCCCGATGTAAACACTTTACTAATTACAACAAACATAACATCAAAGTCTAGTTCTAAGTGTTTCACATTTATAAATTCATTGAATGCCCCACCCCACCTGTTTTTGAAGAAGGAACTACTGTTTCTATTTTACCTACCGACGAAGAAACTCAGGCCCAGAGGTCCAGGAACCCGAGAAGGTGACATAAGCGTTGTCAGAAGTGGGGATCAAGACAGCCTGGTCTGAGTGTCACAGCTGTGGCTCACCTGTGGGGCCTTCACTCCACGTGGCTGGGGAGACCCAAAGGAGAGGCCCTGGTCTTGTGGAACCACCGTGGTGTTCCAGGCAGGAAGACCCCGTAATGAGTGTCTGCTATCAGAGGAGAATCCAGGGGGGCAGTGTGGCTCTGGGGGATGCTGGACACCATGATTGTGTTCTGAGGGCGCTGGGTTCCTGGAGAGAGCCTATGAGACAAGCGCTGTTTCCCTGCTTCTAAAACTGCCGGACTGTTTTTATGTTACATTCCCTCTTTACGGTCCACGGTCATGGCTGCACCCGCAGGCCCGGGTGAGCTTCACAGGGCAGGGTGGCAGTTAGCGAGCGGGGCATAAACGCGCGAACAGAAGGGCTGATGGTCAAGTCTGGCGCGCCAGCGACCGCAGGCAGGAGGGGTCCAGGGGTCCTG